CCTCCCTCCTCTCCCCCATGCTTATACTGGGGGAGAGGAGGGAGGGGAGTCAATAATACACCAATTACACCAATGCTATTGGTGTAATAATATATTAATTGCTAAATTTTTATCTGTCATGGGGTACTATGGTGACCCCTGTAATTGTTACATAGCACCTTGCAAACATTTTAATTGATAACTTCTTCCACATCCAGCCTCTCCCTGTGTTATTCTTGCTGATAATAAAAAACAGGTGCCAATCATCCTCTTGGCCACGTGTCTGGAAGACTTACCAAGTGCTCCAGTCATCTACAAACTCCCAATCAAAGTCTCTCTCTGCATAGAACGTTGTTTTCCTACAAAGGATAATTTTTTTCATCCAGTATATATATATTATTTTCACATCCTTTCAGTTCAAAGTCAAGGCCTTCTCAAAGCATGTGTTGCTTACAGCAACATACCTACATATTCTTGTTAAAACTCTGGAGCTAGTGTGATGTTGTGGGAAGAAAAAAAAAATTGGAGACACCCACCATCTTTTGTCACTTAAAATTCTCCATGTCTCCCCCAGGTATGAATAAAGGTAATAAACCCACCATGCAAGGTTGGTGTGAGAATTACATAAGAATATATGTCAAGATGTTGGAGTAGTACCTCGTGCACAGTAGGTACTCAACGTGTGATAACTATGGTGCTTCATTATTTACACAATGAATGATTTTTACTTTTCTCTGGTGTACTTTCAGGTAATCCACTTCCATGGATTTGCTGAGTGAGAGAACCTGACAGTCCTAAATAGCCATTTTTCTCTCCTTTGTGGGGGAGGGATTGTCTGCAAAATTAAATTTAAGAGGATCTCTGAGGATACCTGGGCGATAACAATGAGCAGGTGTTTGCAGCCTTGATCCAATTCTGAGTCCCTGGATGCCCCTGCCAGGGAGCATCAGGCAGAACATCACACAGCTTCTGTGGGAGGATTTCAGAGTCAGATGGCCCACCTGTCTCCTTACAGCTATCTTGATTCATTTTAGTCCCAGCAGTCTGTGGCCTGGGAAGACAGTATTAACTCACTTTCCAGAAAGAGAAATTAATTTGGCATATGAAGAAGTTTGCAGAGTACAGGAATGAGAAAGGGAAACTGAGATGCTCAGAACCATAGATAGTAAAGAGCTTCTGAACTCTAAGCATAGGAAAGAGTGTGATTCAAATAAAGCAAAAAAACAAAAAAAACAAAAACAAACAAACAAAAAATACAACTCAGCAGAAAGTGGCAATGAGGATTATAAAAATGTAGTGAAAGTCAATATAGCAAGGCTGCAAAAATAAATCAGAAGAGAATAAGCCTAAGAATGTTCTTGGTTCCCTAAATCTCACCAGACACTAACTGTTTGACAGATCGTACACTTCTAGAGGGCAAGGTTTATGTTTCCGGTTCTTCTTCGTGTAGTACTACCATAATTAAGCCTTAATAAATGCTTGCCGATGACAATGACAGAGTGAATTAGCTACTCATCTCTACCTCCTTTTTTCTGAGACACAGTGCTCTATTTTTATTTAATTTGATTATATACATTCTTATTTTACTACTCCTCCAAAAAGATACTCTTACTTGATAATTTTGTAATTAAGAAAAAGTTTGTTTTGGTAATTGTATCATGACATAAATTCAGTAGAAATATGTTGGTGGGGATATTGACAAGATCAAAATTTAGTTTCTACGTGAGTCACACATATTTCATATGTCAAGATCAAATGAAACTATTTCACTGGATATTTAAGAGGACCGACCTTCTAACAATGCCTTTAAAATGATTTTGAGATCTTTGATCAAATAGTACCCTAGAGAGATTGAGATTACAGATTTTACATGCTCCTTTACAGGATCTCCAGAAAACATGGTGCTAGGGCAGGATAAATGATTAGGTGAAAAATCATGAAGTTGGGGTGTATGCTCTGCTTCATTTATGACTGTAAGTTTGGCCCTTCGCTTGTCAATAGCAAAAGTAGCTCATTTCTCTCTAAAATGCTATTGGTGTAATAGGAATTAAGAATAATCACTGTGAGGTATTAATACAACATAAAATATGATCTGAATTTATTTGAAGATGCTAATTAAAATAAAAAATGACCTTCTAATTAAAAATAAACCAAAAATGAGGACATCTGTAAGGTATGAGATATGTGAATATGTGATAGGGCATGAAAAATAAAAATTTTATCCCAACAACAACAA